CGTTTTTGTTTCTAAAGATTTTTTCTGAAATTTTAGGTAATTGTCACCCACAAAGTTGTCTCTCAATACAGTGCAGAAAACTCCGTTTCTACCATTTATAAAAAAAATTATATCTGATTTTCTTTTGGGGTCCGCGCGGACCCCAGCCGGCTTTCGATCGTAATGGATACACTGGCGTTCTTATACATTACCTTATTTCCGTTTTATATGTTTTTATGCACTCATCGTATGTCTACCAAGTTTTCAGAGAATGGTGTAGTAATAGAATAAAATTTTAATAACTTTGGTGTAATAATGACGCCATATGACGTCAGAGCTAATAATATAGTCCGCCATATTGGATTTTGACAAATGACGTCATCAAATTAGCATATTCTATGCATATTAAATGATTTAACTTATATTTAATTATGTAAGATGTTATTAATGTTGGAAAAGAAGTGTAATCTAATATAAAAATCAGAAAAATTTTATGTTTAAACCAAAATTACTTCTATTTTCAAAAAAACTGCCCGTTGCCATGGCAACACAAAAAACATCAACTTACTAGTATTAAACTAATATGAACTTTTTTCCAGAGACATTTTAGGAAAGGTCTCCAAATTTGATACTTCTAGCGCAAGCCGTTTAGCCGCTATCTGAGATCAAAGTTGGGCCTCAAAAGCCCCTTCAGTCTGAAATGGGTTTAAAAATCGGGTATTTCTTCTTGTCTTCTTTTCTTCACCAAAAAATAGAAAAAGTTAAAAATGTATGATTTTTGTATGTAATGTGGACACAGAGGTTCCCACATCAGTTTGCAAAACAATTGAGCTGGTAGCATGTTGATAATTTCTAAAAATCAGCAAAAAACTGCTCTGGGGTCCGCGCGGACCCCAGGTGTACAGATTAATCAGTCCGGCAAGGTGTTCTGTTGAGGGTTAAATTAATATTGACAGCTACCATTGGCTACTGTATACAATATCAACTGAAAAGAATTTTGAAACATAATCTGAGACTTTCTCGCAAGAAATGTGCGGTGATTCTTTCAAGCACTTTCAGCCTACCCCAGCGGTCCTCCTTGCCTTGGTACTAAACCATCAGCATTTCCCTTTTCCAAAACTCCTTCAAGTTCCCCGTTACTTTGCGTCTTTGGCGTTGACCCCTTGTTGTTGACCCGTATCGAGCTGGTAAGCCGGATGCGATTTGATTAACATGGGCGGCCTTTTCACCATAACAAAAGTTTCTATATAAACAACGTATCTTGTTTCAGCACTAACGTAAAACTAAGTAACTTCTCACATCTACTCCTATGCATGTAACGCTAGTTTATGTCAAAACTAATGAGCATTTTTGTGATATTTCCATGCTCATTTCTACTGGGTACCTTTAAGTTCATGTACACGAACATGGAATTTGAACTTCACGCCCTCCATGCCATTCTTCTGCGCGTTCTTGGTGAATTAAGACAACGTCTCTTCAGTAAGTAGGTTGTACGGATTTGTCCTACATACTTATTCTACACGTTCACAGCCTCCTTACCTGGTCTCCTACCTCAATACAATGGTACGGCGTCCAGCTGGGAGTTAACGAAGCCTGTGTTGTGTTGAGTTGGACGGCTTGCTGGTATCGACTGAACCCTGGACCTGTGACAGCCGCCCCCGCTCTGTGGTGGCCCGTTAACAGTAAGTGAATCGTGCCGGAGGCGGCTGGAGCACAACACTGCCTATTGTCAAAACGCGTTAGCACAACATCTAACTATTCATGGCGGCGTTTTCAAGGCTAAACAAAACAAAATGTACTAGTATCACCTTTCCTTGACAGTTAGGCGCATGTTTTTAACAAGATTTGGTAACCTCATAACTTTTAATTCTTTACAAATTTTGGTTTTATTTTGTCTCATTGATTATTGAAATAACATTGCACGCGTAATTAGCAGCCTCTTTTAATTTATGGCCTTCTCTACTCATATTACATACTAGTATATTGTATGTGTGCAGAATGTAAGATTCTAACCCATTTTCATCTTTCTGCATTTTTCATCACCACATGAGGGCATAAGAATTGTATTATGTTACTTACTATAATGAAAAATTCTACGGCATGAATACTCATGTATTTTTGGTACAGACCTGATGTGTTTAAAAATGAGGTCAGACTCAATTTTCTTCAAGAGCTGAGTTTATTATCACTAGTTACCTCAATTGTGAATGATGCCTATGTTACTATGTAAAAGAAACAGAGATGATAACTATTCCAATATGAATTTCATATTCCGTTAAAACATAACGTGTAAATGTGTAAAATTCTACAAAATATATCACAGTGTTTGTGCATAACTTTTATTCATAATTTAGCACAGTGCCAACTATTTTTTGCAGAGTTATCTTTTGACCTCTCCTGAAGGTCAAGACCTCTCTTTGGCATACTTCTCCAGACCCTTCTGCAGTAAGTTCCAGTTCAGACCATTGGTCACAAAGATGCACATAACTCCTGAAATTGAAAGACATAAGGAAAGATATCAGAGACAAATTAGTATGCAACAAGCCAACAACACAACACAGCAAAGATGAAGTATGAGTCCATACAAGAACAGCAACTAAGGCCACACCAATTTAATTTCTTGGTTAACGGATTTTTCTAGAAAAGTAATGGAGCGGGCGGGCGAAAAAATAAAAAAAATAAAAACAGGCTTAGGCATCCTATTATTGCCCAAAATGGTACGATAGGAGCCATGAAGTCCACACACCAGGCTGGTTCAAAATTTAAACAATGAATTTTGAACTTTAAATGATACCATTGCATTGAAAGTTGGAATAACTGTAACAACTAGGATGAAAAGGACTGTTTTCAACTGTTCAGGGCACAATATGAGCATTTTGCAGTTGATTCTGGATTTTTATTTTTATTTGCAAATCAGAAAAAAATGAAGCGGCGAATCCGTTAACCAAGAAATTAAATTGGTGTGGCCTAAGAATCTCTCACCGATGTTGCCGATCTCGTGAATATTAATGTCCTCATCATCAAAGAACAGCATTTTGTTGTAAGGTACACCACTGTTTTGTTTAAACCTGAAATAATACAACGTGATAGAATTTATGTGACATGATAAAGCATTCCACAAACACTAGCATGGCTCTGCTATGTTATCATTAGTTGAGGCACATATTTAACCTCTTTAGTTGAGGCAAGGACAATGCATTAAGCAATTTGAAATATTTAACATTAGATTGTTTTATCAAGAAAAAGTGACAATGTATTTCTTAAAGAAAACGGTGCTAGATGAAGAAAGAAAATGGTACCTCTATGCTAATAGATCATTATTGAACATTGTTAAAATTCAATGAATAATATGTTCATTAATTGTTGTGGCAAAACTGACATTTTAGATAGACAGTATTTTAGTACAGTCAACTTACTTGGAGAAATGCTTGGTTTTGGTTCCCTTGTAAATCTCTTTGTAGGAGAAATATTTGTTCCAGTCCAGCAGAATAAGAAGTCTCTCCATGTCACTGGGAGCCCAGGTTCTTCAAGGACAAAATAAGCAACAATAAAATCACTGAGTATCGATGATCCTTCTTACTAATGTAAATTTATTGATGTTGGTGCAAAACACTATATCCAAACACTGATGAGGACACAGATGGATTTGGTGTGGCGAAAACCTGCAGATTTGCACCAAGAACTGTAATGTTACAATTTTTTTCATAGTGGAAACAATTGAAGTTTCCAGATCTACAGTAATTATGTGTTACTAAGGTTTATTGTTGTCTGGGCTGTAATTGCAAGAATGTTTTCTGTAGAACGTTACCTTGATGCTAAGGCCAGGGTGTATCCATTCCCCTTCAGCCAGTCCAGTATCCTGGGTACATCAGGAAACGGTTGGATGGCCTTCCCCCTACTGTCCCTCACTTCACCACTGCTGTAGGTACAAATTAGAACTTTAGGGCACACTCAAGGAGGAATATATGAAACCATCTCAGGATTCCTCGCAATACACATTCCATAAGACACATTCCAGATCTGACTGGGGCACACTCTACTATTGTTTTAAATAACACTATTTCAGAAAGTGTCAATCTACTAGTATAAGGCATTAAAGTAATGGTATTAGTCAATGTTGAGATTAGTGATACATGGCAGAAAATAACAAAAAGTGCTAACAAAGATTCAATTCTTTATACCTGTCTTTCTTGAAGGGTGGTGAAACATCCATGTCAGTGTGGAAGGGCCATAGTGTCCAGTCTGAAAACAAAAGATACTATTGATAATTTCATGACAATTATAAAGCATAGTTTTCATAATGACAACCACTTGTACTAGTATGTGTGTGTGTGTATGTGTATGTTGTGTGTTTGAGTGTATGACTGTGTGTGTGCATGACAATGTATGTGTATTTAAGAGTGTTATTGTGTGTGTGTGTGTGTGTGTGTGTGTGTGTGTGTGTGTGTGTGTGTGTGTGTGTTTGTGTGTATGTGCATGCGTGCGTGTTGCGTCAAAGAAATTACGATCTTGTATCTTTTCACTTAACCTTCGCCGCCAGTATATTATAAGCTATAAACTGTTAATTTGAACACCTTTCTTACCTACATCAAGAACCAAAAGTTCCGGTTTTGGGGAGGGAGGGGTAAAGTTGGAGGCCATGTCAGTAGTATTTCCCTGAGTATTCTGGCTAGAATCTTGAGTCAGTTGAGAGTCCGATGTTTTGCGCCGAAAGGGAGAGATAATCCCTCTAAACGTTCGCAGCAGAAACACTACAGAATCCGAAATCATTCAGACTGGCCTCCACATATGCAGCATGTCAAGTCTCAAATGCACCGGTTAGCATTACAACGGAAGAGTCTATTATCTATGGGGAGAAAAAATACCTCAATCACAATCAAAGTATCTATTTTTGAACTTAATAAGATTTTATAATCTAAGCATCTATCACTAACAACTTTGACCAACTATAATTACATTGTATTGGGTTATATCTGATCTATTTTAAGATATCAAATCAACATTCAACATAGACAACCCCTTCTTGAATGGATAGGTCTTCTTACGTCAGCTCTAGTCACGTGACCTATGACCTGGCTGGAAGGGAAGATGGCGCAAATTTTGTGTTCGTCGCGATTGTGTCAGCTGCGGGTGTTTTGGTCGCCGCAACACCGGTACGTACTCTCTGGAAAATTAACCAGTCACTTTTTTAACTGCCACGGGTGTAGACCAAGATGAGCTATCGCGTAAGAATCTCAGAATAATCCTAAAAATCGGTCGTTTTTCCCAGGGAGGGTCTGGTAGATAAAGGAGGGAGTGATTGACCGGATAAGCAGACGACAAAGAGACAAACCGGACCGTGATCGCGTTACTTTATTGCCCTTATATCGACTTAAATCGTTAAAACAGGTGTGTTGGGGTGTTCTGTGTGACGAAAATAAGGCTTTTGTTCCCCAAAATCTATTCCTAAATTTAGCCAATATGGCGTCTCAGGAAGGGCTCCTGTTGGATGTTAGGTAGTCGGGGATTACCAAATATGGGCATGGTAATTTGCATACACATTCGTGGCCTCGTGACGTAAATATTGATGAGAAGCTGGTTGGCAAATGGCATTGACAGCACAGATGGTATTTATACACCTTAATAACGTAATATGTGCCTATCCCATGTTGTTGACATTAGCTTAGCCATGTGGAAAAGAGATTAGCAAGCAAATCCAATCAAAGTAATGGAGAATAGCTATTTAAACTTTGTATGATATTGAATTTGAAATGGGCACTCAGAAGCAAAGCGAAAGCTCGTTAAAAGTCAGTTTTATTGTTTCCATGGGAACTTAAATTAATGCTATCTTTAGTACTTTCCCTTTCTTGATGAGAAATCAACAGGTGTTCCTGCATTGCAGAGTTACCGGCATTAAATGGCTCCACAACAAACTTACTCCAGACACAATCCCCTTTTACTTTGAGATCTCATATCTACTCCTACCCGGTTTGATACACTAGTACCTCCTATTAAAGATTTAGACAAATGTTTATATGATTTACCCCCTTAGTTGATACCGCTAGTACTTTAAGCTAATCAAGTGAAGTGATCCCAAAATATGTGGGGCACATTAAACAAGTTGACTTTGGATGGCCCATGGAGTTTTGTTTGGTACATATGAGATCTTACGTAGCTTATGTTTTTTATGCTTAATATATACATGTATTGAATTTCACCTTTTATAATATACAGAGGTATATTATTTATTTATAATAATATTTATAATATACAGATTTTCATGTGAGGAAAAAGAAATTGATTAGTTATTGAAGATTGAGTCTTTGCCACCATTCAGATGATTTTGTATCATTTTTGCAGACTTGTATTCTGATGCCATCTCCAGGTTCTGATATGGCTACAATTTGGAACTTCTAGTCCAGAGAGGAGTTAGTTTTCTTCATTCATAGGTGTTGACAAAGATGGGTAACGCTGAAGACAAGGAAGAGACAGAGACCAGTACAATGAGTGTTGCACAGTCAGGTCACAAGGATGCTCCTCCTAACCTTGAACAACAAACAGTTTTCTCTAATGGGAGCAAAACAGATGAGTCAAGCACAATGGCAGCAGGTACAGAGACTGAAGAAGTTTTACTAAACACCTGCAAAGTCATGGAAACTGATGAACTCGAACCTTCCGAAGGACCACCTGAACTTCAGCCGTATGATTTGTACCAAGGACCTGATTTTTCAGAAACGTTTGATGCAGATGCCTTTGACAGTATCGGTCTGAACTCTATAGTAGATGACTATGACAATGACGGAAGAGACACCCCTGAGCTCCATCTATACGACACAGCCACAGATGAAGACTTTGAAGGAAGTAACTACAGTTTTAATGCAAGTAATGATGGCTTGATGTTCAATCAGGATGAAATAACTAACGAATTAGCTAACGAAGGACAATCAGTCTTTAGTACCATCGGCTCAGAAACAGAGAAACAAAGTACAGAGTGCCCTTTGGTTCCTGAGGACCACAAACTAGACATTGATGAAAAAGAAGTGGCCTCCAAAGAAGGTGCAGAGTCTGCCACTGACAAAGACAGGACAGAAGACAGTCATGTAGAAAAAGAAGACAATCAAGATAACAATATAGACACACCTGTAAGTAAAGAAGGAAAGAGTCTTAGTGAAAAGAATGAAGGTCAGGATGAAAAGAAGCGGGAAACAGAGAAGGAGGGAGAGAAGTCCAAGCGAGATGTTGACCTGGATACGTTCAGTGCAATTCTTGCATCCCGCTCCATCACGCACAAGGTGCTCGCCGATATTGCTACAGAGTGGATCACTCAAGAGCTGAAAGAAGTAAGTACCATACTTATGAATTACATGTACAAAGAAGTAGATTGTGTCTCAAACTGCTTGAGCATGTTTGTCAACATGTACAAATACTTGCAATATGTACTTGTGTTTCTGCCATCACATTCAATAGACTGTTACCTATGGTAATGTGACATATATCAACTAGATCTAGGTAAAAGAAAACAGAAGGAAATTACTAGTGTAAGTGCTTACATTTCATGTTTGTATCATCAGGTGGACCAGAAGTCTATGCCAGAGGTGTTCCAGGTGCCAACTAGCCAGTCCACCTGGCAGCTGCTGAGTGGAGAACGCATCTACACCAGGGAGAGACAGAAAAAGTATGTGTACAAGCTTTGTAGTACAGCAACTACTTTTGCCTATGTAACTCTTTCTGTATCTTGTAGTTACAGTGTATTTTTCCTGTCACTTTCTGGTAATGGGGGAGGGCTGTGCAAGTGAATATAGGCAATAGTAATCCAGTTCTTACCCTAGTGAAATTGTATCTTGTGAAATTATTTTATCCTTTTATTTATTTGTTTGGTTGTTCAACTTGCATAGACAGGGCAGGCCAACTAGCCAGTAGCTATTGCAAAGGGCTGGCCCTGCTCACAAAGGCAAGACATTACAATGGAACTTTGACATGGAAAGTACAACAATCTATCGTACTAAAAATACTATTTTCCCGTTCAATAGGATGATGTGCCGTCGCAGTAGACGTAAACGGACAGGGGTTAGCTATAAGGAGTCGGATCCGCTGTACAACTGTTCTTCAAGGTACGAGAAAACCAAAAGGGACAAGAGGTTCACTGCCAACCCTTGGAAGAAGACAGTTCCAGCAGTGGATGATGATGGAAAGGTACAGTTTATTGTGTATTTATATATTTGATATGTAAATCATTGACTATGAAAGCTTGTTACTAGTTTTACTTAGACATAAGATGGCTATATTTACAAGCAAGCTGTCTTTAAGAAAGCATTGAATTCTTGCAACAGAAGTGGTAGGTAAAATGGATTATCTTTTGAATGTAGAATTACTGCATATTTTTGTATGTAAATAATCGAGTTTAGAAAGTTTGTTACAAGTTAAATGTACAATTAACTTATAGGCAGCATATTACTAGGCAGCTTTTGTAAAGGGTTCAAGTCTTGCAACAAAAGTGGTACAAATGTAGCTAAGAGGTGTTTATCATGTACATGTATAATCAGAATGTTCTTGTGGTGTAATATAACAACAGCCATTGGAATGCTTTTGATTTTCTAGCTACATGTACTTGGAAACCAGCTTAGGTTGATTTACCTCTATGTTTTCCCAACTGCAAACAGTTGAACTGCCGGATGTGTAAGTTTGTGTGTGAAACCTACACGGCCTTCCACCAACACCTGCTGGACCACCACACCTGGAAGAAGTGCACCAAGTGTAGCTTCCTGACACAGAGTCAGAGGAAAATGAATGCCCACATTAAGGTGAGCACTGATAGCAAACTATTTTATCTAGTTAACATATGATAGATTTGAGAGTATTGGACAAAAAGCACATAATGTGCTGCCTTATGCTTTGCCATTAAAACATAAAAATCACAATGACAAATGAAAATGGCTGGCGCACCAAAGGACCTATAACATTAATGTGGCTACTCAAATCTTCCAGAGAGTGAAATGAAGTTGAACACAATATTCAAGATACTGCAATTTGTAGAGTATGGGAGCACATGGTATAAAACTAATAGTAATAATTAGCTAATAAAAATAAGTTCTTTCATGATTCTGTTGCAGATAATGCACACACCCAAGAATCAGTGGCCCACAGTGAAGATGCAGAAACAATGCCAGCTTTGTGGACTAGAAGCTGGTTCTCCAGGGCAGTTACAGGAACACATGTTGTACTTCCACAAATGTTACATCTGTGGCTTCATCACCAGGAACAAAGGGGACTTGGACAAACACATGAATACGTGTCACAAGGGGTACCCAAAATTCCAGTCACCCCAAGCCAGAAACACAACTTCTGTTGTGCAAGGCTCGTCCAATGGACAAGCTGGTCCCATCCCAGCACACACCCAAAACAATCTGTTACAAAGGCCGTCATTGGTGCAGGTCCCCCCTGGACCGAGCACTGTAACACAACACCTGAGTTTTCCCCAGGCTTCAGGACAACCAACCAGAATGCAGCCAATCAGCACCGTGCTAGGACAGCCAGGTGCGCCCGTAGCGGTGGGCGTACCGGGCCTGCGACCGGGCATGATAACAGTACCGCAGCAGGCTACCACAGCCACTAATCCAATGGTGGTAAGGCTACACAACAATGCCAACCATGCCGAGACCTTCGTCCGCTGTACCTTCTGCTCCTACCTGTTCTCCACCCTGAATGGTGCCCATGCTCACATGGCTAATGTACACTGGAGACAGATCTCAGCACTGGCACAAGCTGGCCAAAAGGTCGGCTTCATTCTCATCTCTTGTTCTCCATTAGATTAGATTAGAGCCAAGGAAAGAATGTTGCTTGTTTGCAGCACATCCATAGCAGTGTATTGAAACTGTACAGTGAATGTCATTTCATTTTGTGTGCTGTTAATTGTCCTTATTCTACGAAAGTTGTAAGTAAATGTAACTACATTTTGTACCTTTGCCAAGAAGGCTATGTTTTCCGTAGCATTTCTGCATGTGTGTGTATAATTTTGGGTGGATTGTCTTGAAACTTGGAAGGTAGGAAGGTCTTGATGAAACCTTGAAATACTAGTAAATCGAATTTGAGTGGTAGATGTGGTAGAAGTGAATAAGTTGTTTGGGCCCCCTAGCAGATTGTTGTTTCATTATGGGTCTTAATGTATCTAATCTTGTTTTCTGTTCTGGATTTTGCAGGTTATCCTGCCAAAGGTGATCCTGTATACAAATAACCCTCCACAGCGGGTTCAGCCAAAGCTTAAAGCACCGATCAACAAAAATACCGTCAGGCATCTCCTGAACAAAGATGAGCACACACGCCCCTCAGGTAATAAATTTCTTCAGCTTTAACACTTTGATAGACTTTCCGCAATGTACTAGTGGGAAAGCTATGTAATATTAGTTGGGAAAGCTCTTTTGTAACAAATGTCTAAGACTTAAAATTTCACATTGTAACTGCAGACTTTTTTTTATTGCTTTATCGTTTTATTGTTTGTTGATGGCATGAGGTATCATCTGATAGGTGATATGCAATGTCTGGTAGCAATTGTTTTGATACTGATCATTCTAACAGAAGTGTCTGCAACATTGTGTCATCCGATAATTTCTGTGTTATTGTCTGTGTAATTGTTTTTGGAAAATATTTTACCCATTCAGGGAGAATGCACATATGCTCCCCCTGCCTACATGTATGTACATTTTGAATATAGAATAGATTAGTGCAATAAAGTTTGCAGTTTGATTGTTCTTTTTTATTCTACAATATCTAGGCAATGCTGTGATTGCTCCTTCCATTCCAAGCCATCAAATCCCACAGGGAACCACCACAGTCATCAATCCAAGCGGGCAGGTCCCAGTGCCTGTATTGGGCAGCCCTGCAACACCTGTGGGTAACATAACAGTCAGGCACCCAGGTCCAGCTCCTCAGGCCATCACCGGTATAGTGAGGCCCCCAGTAGTTGGAGCAGTCAATGCTATCCCGGTAGTCAGGCAGGGATTTCAGACTGTACAGGCCACCCCTTCGCCAATAGGAATAACAGGAACCACAATAGTCAGGCAGCAGCTTCAGCCTAACTTTGATACCACATTATCAGGGGGCCTGACAAGTATCGCACCTGGGACAGCTGTAGCACCTGGGACACCTGTGGGTCCACAGCAGCAGCTGTTGGTGCTTAAAAAAGAAGGAGACAAGTTTGTATGGGTAACACAGTCAGTACCCAGTGTTGCAAGTCCAATGCCAAACCAGAACAAAGGGTTGATAAGCGCAGCAAACATTACCACTGCAAACCAGACTGTAGCATCACAAGGCACTGCCAACATTGTGACCAACCAGTCAGTAACTGCACCAAATGCACCTGATAAGAAAGAAATCCAGGCTTCAACCAGTTCAAACCAGGCAGATGAGGAGCCAAAGTCAGAGAGCATGCCAGAAGACACAACAGTCACCACTCCAGTCACTTCCACAGTTATCACACAAAGTGGGACTCCATTGTCAATAACAACAGCTCAGAATATAGCAGCTACACCAGCCAGTACAGAACAGACTATTGGTACAGCTACTACCACACAAACCAACACTGATGATCACAACGTTCCTTCTCATTCTCGTACAATAGCTGCTAGTAGTACTGTTCTGCCTGGTGTTGTTTCCGTCAGTGTCTCTCCAGTACCTGTAATGCCCACTCACCAAGTGGCAGTAACCGGCAGTGGACAGCTAGCATTGGTGCCGCAACCAAGGCCCCCCCAGCCAGTAATGCCCAGTCATCAAGTGGGAGTCACCGGCAATGGACAGCTAGCATTGGTTCCACAAACGAAGCCCCGCCAGCCACCCCCCAAGACAGTGTACTTTGTGAACAAGGCGCCACAGGTCGCCGGCATGTCAGCTCCACAACAGGTGGTGAAAATACAACCCGGTCCGCAGATTGTGCAGAGAGTGGGGAGCCCGGGGCTGAGTGTCAGAGGAATCCAGCCTGGTGTTGTCGGCTCCAGTAGCCAGCCTACCACCACCATCGCTCCCCAGACCGTCTTGTTGATGGCAGATGGACAGAGGATAGTCCTCCCTAACAACCAAAAGCTGATCACAGTTCCGGCTTCTACAGCACCAGGAGGTATCACACCACAGCCAATGTCAAACCCGCAGACTGTCAACCTTGCTCCTCCGGTGGAAGTCAGCAATTCACAGTTTGTGATGCGGAATACAAACTGGAGAGGACCAGGAATGCCAAATTCTGGATATACACTCCGGATGCCATTCAAGGGACAGCTGCAAAACATCGGACCAGGGCAAACCCTAGTGGCGAACAGTGTAGGTGGAGTAATTGTGCCTACGCAGGATGTTAAAGCAGACAATAGTCGTCCGGGGAGGCCTGCCCTGTTGTCTCTAGCCCCCAAGCCAGAGCCGAAGTCTGACAAGGATGCAAACAAAGTTCACAAGTCTAAGAAAGAGTCAGATGTTAAGACTGCAACAGTATCGGCAAAAGGCACACCTCAAAACAGGGACAAAACTAAGAAGGCAAGTGTCAAAGATCCAAGAAAGGAGAAAAACTTCTTAAACTTCTTGAAGAAGAAAAAACAGAAAAAGCTGAAAACATCTCATGCAGAGGACGCAGAGACCATTCTTCTGAGGAGTTTCCACAGTAACCCCTATCTGACTTCCATGGAACTGCAGCGGTTAAAGTTCAAAACCTACCGGAGTGCAGCGGACATTCGTTACTGGTTCCACACCATGCAGAGAAAGTGTATGAAGAGTTTGGAGCAGCGAGAGCCAAGAGTTGTGATATGTCGCTGTGATACCCAGAAGTAGAACATAAGGATGGACCACAGGGTAGACCGTGTACAGTCAGAGATATTCCCCCTGTGCAAGAGATGTATTCCTGAAAGAAAATTCAAACTACTATATTTCTGGACACCTCATCTTGTGAAACCATTGCTTTTTCCTCTATATTGATGTATCACAAATTCAAAATGAAAGGCTCTGTTTAAATGTAGTGTTGTAGAATGTGCTTAGATGTTGTAGGTAAAACTCTTCTGTCCGGACTGTTTGTAGAATATGTAACGTTTGAGAATACAGGGAAGTGTATAAAATTGTGTCAGCCCTTTTTCCTGGATGTGAATCAAATCTTTGCCACAGCTCTAGATCTCCTTGAAGTTTACATTAACCATTTTGATAAAAGGGTGATAGCTAGACTTTTCTTCAGTATGGTCACTTTGATATCTCGCTTCTTGGAATTTTACTGCAGTCTGCAGTATATAGACAATGAAAATGATCTTTATTTGCACATTCATGCCCATGTAGGCTAAATTCAGTACATGTAGTTTCACGAGACAGTCATAGAAACACTACAACTCTATAGAAGAAAGAGTTGTTGGGAAATATTAAGTAATTTTGTCATACGTAATTTTCATATGTACAATTGTGAAGTATATATGCAGTGCAATGTACCTGCGCAAAATTTTGATGCAGTTCGGTTTTTCAAGTTCTTCCTGTTTCAGTAACTCTGGTACCAATGTTTCAGGTCTGGAGTCCAGGCTTTTGATAAGTATTTCCTCATGTATTTTGAAGATTTTTGATGTTCTTAGACCAGTGTGACTGTAATAGACCATTCCTTATGTAATACATGCTTAAGTAAATATTATTGTCCAGTCAAAATGTGCCTTTTGTGGTGAGGATTGTAGTTTTAAACTGCAAAAAAGACAATCTACTTGGATGTAATAAAAATGACTAGGCTGTGAAACTAGCATATATAAGAAGACAGGTTTATGTAATATATAAGAAGACTGATCTCTGTTCATATGTTGCACTTATATGTTGTGTTTCTAAAACCAGTTCATCACATGTAAACAACCATAGACAAATATAACTTTGGTAGAATTTATTGTTGCTTGTTCAGCAGGCAAAAGCACACTAACATCTTTTTCTTTATATACATGTATTTATTTACTCAGTTGCTATATACTGTATCAGAGTATTCTAAGTTATACATAGTTCTCACTACATTGTACTTCTTTTTTTACCAGAGATGAGTAATTGAAATCTCACTTCATACATTGTTAAAAAGTGACAATTGTAGATCTTCCAATGTCTTCTGTATTCTTTTTAGGCATTTACCTCAAATCAAGTTGCTTAAATTCAATTAAAAGAAAAGTTATCACAATCATTTGTAAATATGTATTGTATATTACCTGTGCCCTTTAGGAACACTATTAAACTTTGCCTGCATAATGTAATACTCGTGTTGAAAAATTGCCATCTCACTTTTTTTCCTTTAAAAGTCCCCAAATTGGGGGCTGAATTCCATCCACGTTTAGAGTAGATTTGTAAAAATCAATGTACATCAGGAACTAAATACTCCATTAACTATTCAGCTCATATCCTTCTATCTCTCTACTTACTACAATAAAAGAAGTAGCTATCTTTATGTATCAAAAGTCTGTTTGGTGTAATTCAGACATTGAGGCAATGCATGCATATGCACAACAGACAAAAGTGTCTCATGAAATAAGATTACTGGGTTTTATCTGTCTGATATACAGATAAAACATCTGTACAGAATTCCACATTCTTCAGATGATTATTGCTTCCATTGGCAAAATCACAAATGTTACAATCAAATGCTATCGTGTATAATCAAGTCCTCAGGCCTTCCTGACCACTGACATTGTGAGAAGTGGCTAAATTTTGATATTCAATGGAATGAAGCAGCTAATGTTTTATAAGACGGGGATTCAGAAAGGGAAACCACAGTATAAAGAATTGAACCACAGTACTGGTATCTTACATTTCTGTCATCATATAATTACACTCATAAATGTATTCAACTTCAAAATTCAGCAGAGATTCCAAATTTACAGATACATGTACCATTTTTTTTAGAAATGAGAATGTCTGGAACCAAAATGATTTGACCAGTTTTGCCGTCACCTCTCCTCAGTGACAGTGGATGTCTTGGTATCTTCCTTTGGAGGGAAGAAGTCGTCTGTTTTGAAGATCTCTGGGGGCACAAACTTCTTCCGTACTTCTGGTTTCGGTGCTACAGGCTTCTTCTGCAAATGGAAAAAAAAAAGACTTATGGAAAGAAGTACAAAGTATCAATATGCAAAATCAGTGAGTTCCACTCTATGATAGTTTTAGGGAAAAAAATGAGTCCAATCCTTGATTGATAAGTCTGGTACTTGAAGGCATGACTATTTCTTGTTCCTTTCTGAGGTGGTATTTGGTATTTATTAGTCATTTTGTACATCATGCACTGTCTTGGACATTTTTTGCCTGTCTTCCAGCTTCCTTAGTGACTTACTGGTGCAAAAATGGGCATCTTGATGTTGGTGAAGAGTGATTTGATGGAGTTGAGAGAGCTGTAGTCTCGTTCTGCCTGGTTCACCAACTCTTCCATCATGTTAACATTCCTCCTCACCACATTCACAAAAGCCTGGAGAAACAGAACATTGTCAATTTTGGCCCATATTTACTGTTGTATTATATGTTTTGTAATGTGTGGAGCACAGCATCAGCTGAATTTGCTTCCTAGTGTTCCACCATGCATTGCTGTTGCAACTTGAATAAAGTCAATTTTACAACAAGGGATTAGAAACAGATTAGCCCAAGCTAGCATTTACACAATGACTTTTGGAGGATAATGCATTATGTTACTTAAATTGGCTTGTGATGGATGATTTTAGTACATGTAGTAACAATGCTAAAAATGATGTACATCTCAAGCTCAACTGAAAACTTATAGAATAGTTACAGTTCAATTCTATTAAGTTTCCTCACCTCTAATTGGTCGATCCTCTCATATGTTTTCCTGATTTCCAGCGACCTCTCGTATAACTCTGGGAGTGTCTTGTTCAGTGCAAGATTGGATTCTGATCGAACCTGGCAAGAGGGTAACAAATTACATTTGTTACTTAATAGTCAAATCATCACAGACTATTTTCTTATGGCCAGATGTTTCTGTCGATAAGAATTTTTGACTATGATAGCTATTGCCTTTTGTTATAACAAGTACATAAAAAAACTTTGACTTTTCAATTTTAACTATGATAACTTTTCATCACTGTAGAGTATGACTGGCACTGCCTACATTGTATGTTATTACAAGTCCTAATGTCAGCAATGCCTATATATTACATAATTAATTAAAACTCACCATGTCTACCACTCCACAGAATTCATCTAGATGGGTCAGCATCTCCTCTATACTGTCTTCTATCATTTTCCTCTGGAGGGAAAAAAAACACGTTCACACTTGAGTAGATATATTGATCCATAATCAAATTTCTGAAATTATGATGTATCGATTGGAAAACGACATATCTAAAGCAACTGTTAACAGTTGCCAAGTGCTGAAGGCAACTGTCCGATCATTTTGTTCTCCTCAAAATCATACTTGTTTACAATATAACTTCATCATCATCATCATCATTCATCCTCCGTAGAGGTGGAGCATACAAAGTTATAACTTGGATCTACGTATATGATAATTCATTTGGCACCTTTCACGAACTCATCCCCCCCACCCCACACATGAGTAGTACTGTGTCGTACCTCAGTTTGTACCGTTTAAACAGCGAGCGCGACTCTACAAAACGTCACTACACACTCTCACCTCTTTATCTGTGTTCACGTCCAGATACTGCGAGTAATCAGCACACGTCTGCTCGAGCACAGGCAACATTTCCTCAGTTTTTTCGGGAGGACTTTGTTTTTGTTGACTTTCTTCCGCCATGATGGATAGCTCTATGGGACATGCGCTAAGACCTTTGACCCACAAGACCAGACGACTCTTTAGAAACGTGGGGAACACATAATGTGTGAAGGTGCCAAATCTTTCTTCGTATTTCTTCGTATTTAGTCACATTAATAGTAATGTTAGATGTAGAACCTCATATCATACTACATGTACAATGTATCCAAAACAACCTCTCCTACCTACATTGTCCTAGAACTACATGTAATACTTCTAGTGTAAGGAAAGAGTGATTGGTAACTATCACAGTATCAGCTTCAATTTGCTGAATGGACAATAATTTCTTTTTTTATCCACCCCAGATGACTTCGAGTGAAACATTCCCCACTCCTGACTTGTCCCACCTTACAGCTGAGGACTATGAACACGTGTATGAACCAGCTGAAGACACCTTCCTCCTCATGGATGCCCTGGAGAAGGATGCTGGATTCTTACGCTCCATCACCCCTTCCATCTGCTTGGAGGTGGGGTGTGGATCCGGAGCTGTGATCACCTTCCTGGGATCCATCCTCGGATCTCGGTCACTCTACCTCTGCACCGATCTCAACCCCCGCGCTGCGGATTGCGCCGCCAGGACGGGGAAACAGAACAACGTCCCCGTCCAGCCGGTTTTGACTGACCTGGCTTCGGCGTTGTTGCCACGACTGCAGAACAAAGTAGACGTGATGATTTTTAACCCGCCGTACGTCGTGACCTCTTCTGAGGAAGTGGGGTCACACGGGATCGAAGCATCGTGGGCTGGAGGGGTCAAGGGTCGTGAGGTTATGGATCGCTTCTTTCCCCTGGTTCCCAAACTGTTGTCAGACAGGGGAGTGTTTTACCTGGTGACCATTGAGCAGAACAAGGCAGAGGAGATAGGACATGAGATGAGCACCTTCGGATTTACCATGGATAAGGTTATGAGTCGTAAGGCTGGCCCAGAAAAGCTAGCCATTCTCAGGTTTTGTCCCTCCAAGAGAACTATGTAAAAGAACTTTGCGGAAGAAGAAACTGATAGGAATAATTTAGGTAAAGGTTGAAATTAAAACGTTTTTATAATCCAAGGCTCTTTTATTTCAAGTTAACTTAGCAGAAAAATCTTATAAGTAGTGCCACTTATGGTACTAATGCATAGTTTTCAATCTTTTTTTATTCATGAGATTTCTTGGTTTTAATCTGCAGTTTTAGACTGGGCTGCTAGGGTCATTGCCCCTGTCGCTTTCAATCATGGGCTAATCCATTTCAATTTGCTGGATCCAGATTATCCACAATCACAAGGCTGTTTCTTCCTTAGATCACAACCACTTCAAAGGAAATTGAGTCTATCCACAACTACAAATTTTGTAGATATGTCAAATGTGAGATGTAAGACTCAGCCACCAAGCACATGCGCGAACATTTATTGCTGTTAACGTACACCCCTACAATAAAAGTGCGCAGACCCAACATGGCTGAAAAAAGTTCATTTTCCGCATGCCTGTGTTCCCGACGATAAAGTTTTAACTCGTGTGTACATGGCATTGGCAACCTCCTTTCGGGGATTAGCTGTTGTTGTTAGTGTGTATCACTGCTTCGCATCGGGGCTATTTTGCCACCAGGAAGACGCCAGCTGTGAAAGTAAACCGGAGAAGAACGAGGGAGGACCGATGGAGAGCTTCCGCCCTCCCACCCCCCGACCTGAGCTGGTCGTGTTTGACGTAGGTATGTCAGCCCTTAGGGTACACGTGTGTTTGACCATGGAGGTAGAAAAACAACACGTAGGTATGTCGTCCCGTAGGGTACACGTTAGCCGTGGACGACTCTAGTAATTCTTTTTGCATGATAATGCAGGATACCGGTATCCTGGCCAGAAAAGCTGATAATGAATGAAAGACCTTTATTGTACGTTTGTGCTCTAACAAGCTAAGTACAGGTCATGGGTAAACAGGGAAAAGTATACAGTAATGACACTTACATACTATATATACTAATGTGATCTACTATTTACAGGTTCAGCTTCTCGCTTCTTGACGCAGTTAAAGATTTATGAACATATTGAGCTAATGATACATGGTTTGTTAAGTTTACCGGTATCCTGCATTATAATGCAAAAAGGATTACTCGAGTCGTCCACGGCTAGGTAGCAGAAAAACAACACGTAGGTATGTCAGCCCTTAGGGTACACGTGTGTTTGACCATGGAGGTAGAAATCCAACACGTAGCTATGTCGTCCCGTAGGGTACACGTGTGTTTGACGTAGGTATGTCAGCCCGTAGGGTACATTAGCCTGGTTACCAAACATTTATAGCTCCCGAGTCCTACATCCTCTCCGCAAATGAGAGGATGTAGGACTCGGGAGCTATAATAGGTTTGGTAACCAGGCTAAGGGTACATGTGTGTTTGACGATGATTTTCAGGCAAAGTTTCATTATCCATGATACATATTTGCTTCATATACAATAACATTTGTTAACTTTCCATTTGGCTAGACATCTTTCCATCCATCAGTCTCATAGCTGGTCGATAGCCGTAGGTGATGATGATGAAACGTATCTCATGCTGATTGTATTTAAATCCAACAGATTTTACCCTATGGCCCTTCTGGGTAGACACGCATGTAAGCCAACCATTCAAGAAGACAAGGTCAGTTTTATAATCATAGCAGCATAAAGAAATGTCATATTCTATCACTTTGATATCTAACCGTTATGTAATGTTTTAGTAAGATACAGATAAAAATGGGGAATTTTCCAGTAAATTTGACAGTATTAAGGTTAAGATTTATACTGTCATAAGCGCATTTTAAATGTATTTAACATGTTGTGAAGTCATGTAGATGCTCCAATGTTGATCCATTATTTCCTCCCCAGTGATGGCAGAGTGGTGGACAGGCACAATTACGTTATCAAGGGATATGAAGATGTTCCAGAGATTCTGGAATGGATGAGTCGACAAGGATATACCATGGCAGTGGCATCCAGGTGACAACATTATCATCAAATCATTGATAGATAATATTGATATAATATTGGTGAAAGTATAGTTGGAACTTACACATGTAATCTTTTAGCCTCCTTTACAGACTTGTGTGGCAGTGGTGTTACTTTTCATTTGCCTGGGTGGTACTAGTAATATTCATGTAATGTTAGAGTCAATAAACTTATATATAGTTTCAGGTATATACCATGATCAAACTTTTTAATTAAGACTATCTTGTATATTTCTGTTACAGAACTGATGATCCAGAGGCCATGAGAAAAGCTCTGAAGCTGTTGGACTGGGACAAATATTTCACATACAAGGAGATTTACCCTGGTTCTAAAACACACCATTTTCAAAGGTCACTCCCTTCTTCTATTTATGAATTTGTACACATATTTTGTAAAAAAAGAAAACTAATACAGAAATCCTTCATACTTTCACGTTACTTATACAAATGTACTTGAATTTTGCCAACTCAAAATAACCATTCATGTTATGATACCATACATTTTCCTTAGGTTTCATGAGCAAAGTGGTGTACCATACTCTAAAATGATTTTCTTTGATGATGAGGAGAGGAATATCTATGACCTGAACAGAATCGGTACGTAATCTGCATGTGCTTTTACATTCAGTTCTGGTATTCCTTTTGTTACATAGCTTTTCTTGGTCTGGTTGAAAGCTCTAAGTGAGAACATTTCCCTTTTTTGTTGGAACAAAAGTTTTAACTTAAAACATGAGCTTTCGTGATAGAACAGGAATATCTGACTACATAACCTCATTGTCCCCAACAGGTGTGCTGTCCCTCCTTGTGGCCAGAGGAATGACCACTCAAGTTCTTAAAGAAGGTCTGGAGCAGTTTGCTCGGGAAAGGAAGTAGTTGAACTGCTTCAGAGGTCTTCACAGTTTTGTCGTATGTTGATATAATGTAGGGAGAAAAACTTTTTGTAGTGTTAATTGTGATTGTAAAAATATCTTTAGGATTGATATGTTGGTACATGTATATTGATAATAAGAAAATATGTACTACAAATTATATTCATAACCTACCAGTAACACATGTTACTAGTAAATAAATACCTCTCAGGTCCTTACTAGTAAATGAAGGAGACATTTGAAATTTAGTAGTTACATGTATTTTATTGCACATTTAATGCAAGAAAAGACAGTAGTGTTGACAGAAATACATATGCAGAAGGTAATTCTCAGGGATCATATCTGACACCAAAGTCCCTATTAACAATATTATTCAATGAGAATTTACTCCTGTTGTGCCTTTCTGTAGTGCTTTCGCTTGTGTGGCCCAAGAGCTATAGAAACAGAGATGGGCACTACCCTATACACCATATGGTGTGAGAATAAATCACATAGGCAAACTTGACTGCCTGTCAATGTTTCCACCATGAGAGAGGGTGGCGTGCCCTCCGGCCCATCTCGGCCCACAGAAGCCGGTTTTCCCTGCGCAGCCCTCTCAGAGCGGTCCTGTTCTCCTGGGCGCGCCGGTTCAGGTAGGCGATGGTCGTGTGCAGCGGACCCACTGCTACGGACTTGTACACTGCATAACCGGCTTGAGCTGTGCAATGAGGACAAACTTGATTTTTCTTTCACAAGAGACCTAACAGCTAGTAGGCCAGCTTCTACCAGGCTTCGGGAAGCGGCTGGAAAGAGTAGAAATTGGCTAAATAGAATGATATACCAGGTGAGTTGTTACGCGCTAACCTAAGAGAACATTTTTTTCTTCTAGCGTAGACCAAATCCCCTGGCATATCATCTGTCTATTAGGCCAACTTCTACTCTTTCTAGCCGCTTATTGAAGCCAGGTAGAGACTAGAATGCTGCAAAATTTTGAAAGACCGGGTGTTTCAATATGTCATATAGCATGTAGATTCTAAATTAGTCACAGTATTTTAGAAATGCCAGAAGTCATCCCTATTAAAGCTTACCTAGATGATAAGAGATCTGGTCGGCCATCCCATACGTCTGGCCGAAGCAGACACGGCTGTCATTCTTTTGGATCCCTAACTCCTGCATCCTGCAAGTATGTACACAGAATTTAGACAACGTTAACGTCATTCTATCATACTGTTTGGAAATATTGCGTCGGTGAGTGGGTTTATCTATTGGCTAGTTCTTTGGTTGTGTTGTCACAATCCTATCCAAAGAACGTCAAATCGTACACCATGGTACAAACATATATAGGACGGTACATATCTAGTAGTGTTCTGTAATGTGTTGTGGCTGCAAAACGACATTACCTTCTAACTGCATGTTTGGCAGTCTCCTCGCTATGAGTGGCAACTATAACGTTAAGCTGCTCCCCCTGGCTGTCTTTAACAAACTGCAGCGTTCTGTCCAGTACGCGATGGTACATGGAACTGGTGTCGTCGTACGTAGGATGGATGGGATCTTCCTGTCCCTGAAAAGACAAAGCTACCATTATTATCTTGTAGTGTTTGTTAGATATATCGAGCTGCAAAGGGTTTCGTCCATAAAATGCTCTTGTAAGAATTGTATTGAAAAGAAACTACAGTTTGAAATGTATTTGCTAAAAGAGTGCCACCAAATATTAAATCTACGCTTCTCAACTTCCAAAGCATGCTTACTGAGAGGCTTTGTGATACTAGTAATAACAATTGCTCACCATCTGCCTCGCCACGGCCCTCTCGTGGTCCATGTAAGCCCCCCGTACGATCTTGATGCCGAAGCAAAAGCCGTGCTGCTGAGCAAGAGCCGTGTCCTCTAGTACATTGTTGTATGTGCTCTGTAACATATTAAAGAGTCACCTGGCCCGTTACATCAGTGTTGAATAATTGCGATATTGTAAAAGACCATAAATCAAATCCGCACGTCACACATTCCTTTTTCAATGTTTCTGCATCGCTACAAATGATCCTTGTGGTCATCTCAGATATTTTCAAAGGTTTGATAATTAATTTCATGAAATAAATGGACGTTGTTAACAATTTCATAATGTCAATGTGCAAGCTCACACTGTATTACACTTGGACACAAAACTGTTGAGTTCCCCTTTCTTACTTTGAGGTAACACTGGTAGGTGTTCCAGACGAGCGGCCGGTCCCGGTTCCACCTGTACATCATGGCGAGTACCAGGCGGGTGATGGCCGGTCTCATGGACGTGTACTCCGCGTCAACCAACATCCGCACGCCACACGACTCCGCTTGCTGGAATAGAGCAAAATAGACGTTTGTTAACGCCGTAAAAGTCGCAGTTTATTGCAAAGTCTTACCCGAAGGCTAAAAAGACAACAATGAAGAACGATAGTCCAAAAATTGACTCTACATTCTTTCTTCGGTTTAAAAGCGATTTCAAGTTAGGTCATAACGGGAAAGCTGGGCATTCCTAAACACAAAAAGATAACCAGCTGATGCATTTTTTATTTTGTTATCTTACTAATACATGCTGACATTGGACGCAAGTCATGCCGGGGAGTACTTTTCTCACTTACTGCACAGACGGCGTGCAGTCGCACGAGGGCGTTCCGGAGGTGTTCGTTGTCTTCGGTAGACAGGAAGGACAAGTGGAAGTGCTAGGGGGGAAAACAAGGGAAGGATATCATGATCAACCAAGTTTGATCAAGGAGGTTAAATACAACCTCCTTGGTCTGATTCTCCGCAGAAATAGGCATAATTGAATGGCCCAATGAAAGACACATGAAGTTAGTTGTTCTGTGTTTTTCCTGAAGTATGACGAAAAATGTTGAATTAGCGAGTTTACTGGCTGCCTAGGTGTAGCTTCTGTGTCACGGGTAGAACTAGGAAGCGTCTCCGTGGATAACATATAAATCACTCACCTTGTTGTCATCACACAGTCCCGTAGACAGGTGTTCGACTGACAACTCTGTTGAACTGGGGTCTTCTAACAGATGCTGACTCAATGTCACCTGTGGTAACCACAAACAATATACCAGGGCTTGTAGACAAATTTCGGCTAGAACTCTAAGATATTAGTTCTTCATTTTGTGTAATAATACACTAGACTATGAGACATGTGATATGCTCGTATCTAACACGGTCAAGAATCCATCTAGAAACGTTTTGCTACCGAATAACCTGTTTACAGTAGAGATTTGTCGTAGCACACAATATAAATGCATACATTGTATTAACAACAAGAGTTCCACGATCTCATACCTTCGCCAAAAGATGTTAACCCTTGCGGGTGACGAATTCTACAAGTTTAATCATTGATTTTGTAAATAAGAGCCTCATTTGCATGGATTATATCAGTTGATCATATTCTCCACCCAATGACAGCCTTATCATAACAAAAAGGCTATTATAGCACTTCCTCATAAATTATGCAAATGAGGTCATGATTTGAATAAATTATGTTTATTAATGTTCACCTTCACTTAACTTCCAAATGTGGCAAGTATGAAATTCGGGGTGCAGCAGTTACAACTATGGAATTATAAGAATTTGCCATTAATTATGCAAATTAGGTCCTCATTTACATAATCTATATCCTCAGATGTTTTTCTCGTTCTCAAGTAGATGTCACAACTGTTTCATAGTTCTATTATCGAACAAATCAGACTTATAGAATTTCCTCATTAATTATGCAAATTAGCTCCTGATTTGCATAATTGCCATCTGATTATGTCAAGCATCACTTCAACTACCTACATACCAAAAATCACGACAATACGTCAACCGGTTCTTGAGTTATCGTCCTTCAAATTTTTTTCAACAAATGCTCCTGCAGTTCCAGAACAAGGCGCTAGGGAACCCAAACTCATGTCACTTCTTCCCTACCCCAAGAGCTATCTACCAACCAAAATTCGTGACCCTAGCATGTCCAGAACATGAGATATCAAAACCGGAAGTTCTGCTGCAGTACCTGGGAAAGCCGCCAGGGGGCCCAAAATCTAATCATTTCTAGGTCTCATGAAGACCTACCCACCTACCAAGTTTCATTCCAATCCATCCACTGCTTCTCAAGTTATCTTGCTAAACCACAAACCCACAAACACACACACAGACAAACGCTACTGAAAACATAACCTTCTTGGCGAAGGTAATTAACGATCTGATCAACTCACTAGCAGTTGCGCATGCATGAACGACGTGAGCCTCATCTGGAAGAGCCGCGCATGCGCGCCGTGTCGAGCCAGGATATCGGTCGTACTCCTGATGGTGTCTACGTAGTACTGCGCGTTGTTGTCATAGAAACGTTCCCTTAGGACGGGGGGAAAGAACATGGCAATGTCATCACGTGTCCATAAAGTCACGTGTTCTAAGTGATGGGTCATTTGAACCTGAGGAAGGCTGAAGTACGGCCGGTCGGAAATTCTTGTGTTTGGTACGTGACGTTCATGTCAACTTTTTTTTATCTTTATTTAATATGTAACGTTAAAGCAAAACTAGTCGTTTTAAAAAGGGCGATCGACCAACCCACAGAAAGAAAGACTGAAAGGTATTTTACTATGATATCTAGCACTGGTAAAATAGATCAGTTGATCTATACACAAAGGCACTGGTTTGTCGACTAGAAGTCTGTTACTTACTCGACTTGTGCTCTGTCCCCAACGTTTTCTTCTATTGTTAAAAGGGGCATAGAATGTATCCCGGCATCCCTCAGTCTGCTGAAAGTTGCTGCCATTTTGTCAGGCGTGTCTCCTCCGACAAACTGGCCGTAGAAGGTGGCTCTCATCAGGTAACCGAACAACGTCTGGCCAAGAAGCCGGCGGCCGATTTGCATTAACTGTAGAATTACACATGATTATGATTTCAATAACTGCGGGTAGATGAGCAGTTGTTGAAAGTGTACGTGTATAATTGCGTTTTTTTTTTCATTCATTCACATAGAACAAGGTACAGGACATGGTGGTGCCGCACTCAAGTGAAAAGCACTTATGTTGACGGCACCACTGAAATAAATACATATAATAAGGCCATGTTGATTTGATTATATGGATGACATCCTCCGGGAGCCCCAAAACTGATGCGCGCGTGCGAATAAAAAAAAAGTTTTGCAAAAAAAAAAGTTGTCTTCATTATGAAATCTACGTGGTCATGAGGGTTGAACAAATGGCACAGAATATGGTTTGGCGAATAATCTAGTCTTCAAGTTCATTTCTTTACAATTTCCTCTTTTTTCGTTTGATTTTGGCATTCTACGACATTGGTATAGTTTTTATTATTTTTTTTGTAACTTATGGTATATTTTTGCTCATTTTGCAACTGTTTTGTACGATTTACAGTATGGTTGAAAACTTTTTTTTGAAACGGCCGAAAATTCATGCGCGCGTGGATGTCATCCATATAATCAAATCAACATGGCCTAAAGAAAAAAACAAACAAACTTTAGGACAGGCAAAAACAGTATATACAGGGAATTCAAAAGCGCAAGTCC